GCTTTTATCTCTCTTTCTTTCCTTTTTGGGTACATAATCAGACTACTTTTTCCACAAAATCATTTGAAATAATTTTCCTCTATCTGTTCGTGCCAACATTGATGCAGTTACTTTAAATGTTCAGTCTTCATTTTTATATTTTGGAAATTTGTTGTGTTACTTTGTTTTGTTTCATATTTGTTTTGTATATATAAAACATTTACATGGAACTGAAGTCAGAATTATAGAAGATCCATTTGAAGATTTTAGCATCCATTGTAGAGTTCTCGTTCCTCTTTTCTCCCTCACCCCATAGGTAAAAATATTTTTATGAGTTTTCTTGAACTTTTTAACATTGTTTGTCATAGCACAGTATGTATCAATTCTATTTAAATGACATATTTGTATTTTTGTTCTTATATTTGGTTTTTATACATTTTAATCAATCTCTTCTTTTCCCATGTCTGGATTTTGTGTCTGACTTCTAAAGTTGCACATACTTCATAAGTATGCATACGGAAATCCATATCATGTATTTGAATGTTTTTATGCATTGATTATTTAATGATGGCATCATTGGTCTATCAGGAATTTTTATACAATAATTACTGTATTAGTAATAATAATACTGGCCAGGCCTGGTGGCTCATCCTGTAATCCCAGCATTTGGGTAGTCCGGTTGTTAGGATCACTTGAGGCCAGGAGATTGCAACCACCTTAGCCAACATGGTGAAACCCTGTCTCTACTAAAAATACAAAAAATTAACCGGCTGTAGTGGTGCACACATGTGACCCCAGCTACTTTGGATGCTGAGGCAGGAGAATCACTTGAGCCTGGAAGGTAAAGATTTCAGTGAGCTAAGATCACACTACTGCTATCAAGTTTGGGCAACAGAGCGAGACACTGTCTCAAAAAAGTTAATAATAATAATAATATTGATGGTAAATATGGGTACTGACATTCTGGTAGTTAATTTACTAAATACATTACTTTCTATTTTATTTAATCTATACAGAAACTTCATTAAAGGTTTAAAGTACTGTTGAATTTAACATTAGAAATTCGGGGGTTAATTAACATTCCTTAAAGTCATATGCTTTAATCCAAGCTCTGTGGTCCCGAAAATGAGATTTGTTAATTCAGTTTGCATTCCCCCATCTTTAAGAGTACTAGCATTATTTTACAACTTTATAGGTCGTTTATACTTCTTCTTTTGAGAATCCCCTTGTCATACTGTTTGCCTATTCCTCTTTTGGAGGATTAATATTTTCTCCTTGGTCGTAAGAATTAATATACACCATTTTAGAGATACTGACCCTTTATCAAATGTGTTGAAGGTATTTCTCCTCATTTGTTATTATTTACATTTGACACCTTTTGGTGAATTTGTCCTTTAAAAAAAAACAATTCTATCAATTTTTCTAGGGTGTCTCGTTTGATGTCAGGCTTAGAGAGGCCAATCTCACCTAGAATTTGTATGCAATTCATCATCGTTTAACTCTAATGATTTTCTTTTTATTACATGTAAGTCAGTATTTGTGACTGGTAACGTAGAAATGCAACAATATTTGTTTCCGTGTGGTAAGTCAATACCCAAAAGAGAACTTACTAAATAACTGACTCTTTCCTTGTGGATATTAACATATAACTTTATCATATGAGAAAATATTATATACATGTGGTTCTCTTTCTGGATTTTCCACTGTGTTCCTTGAATCTTGTCATTCTAGTCCCGGTATTGCCCTCTCTTCAGCACTGTAGCTTTGTAGTTCTTTTCACATTCTGATGAGGTTTCTCTCATTATTTTTTTCTTTTAAGAATTTTCTGTGCATTCTAGTGTGATCTCAATTCTCTCCCTTCCCATTTTTGAACCATGAGACTTCTGTCCAGCAAGACTTTTTCACGCTCCAAGGCAGGCAAGCTCTCCGGCTTCACAAGGACCCCGAGAACTCAGCTTTCAGAGCTGCTCCTGTGGCAGCCTCATGTCCTGCACGTGTGGTCCAGAGGCAGAGGGAGACCAACCGGAGCCTCCTCCCTTTCTCATTCCCAGCTGTGATGACAGCAGAAACTGAACTCTCTGAGCTGGGCCAACACCACAACCGAGAAGGACATTGTTCTATATCTCATTATGCATATTTCAAACGTGTGTCTCTATATGCTACTTATAGAGGTGTGAAAATCTGTGTATGCCCTAGTGAATTTTCACAATTATATTACTGGACTTGTTTTGTCCCCTATATTTCCATCTGTGAATCCAGGTGCACTGCAGATCTCAGTCCACTTTCTGAGGGTAGGGCTGAGAAATAAAATATTCAATACCAGACAATTTGGAAGTTCAGATAAATAACAAGTTTTTAATTTAAGTATTTCCAAATATTACATGATATGGCACCCAGTACTACTTAAAAAAAAAACAAAAAACAAAAAAAAACAAAAAAACTCATACTCCTACTTTAACAAACAAAAATCCTCTAAAAAAGAGATCACACCCACAGGATCACAGGCACCCCCTGCCTCCCACCCCCACAGACACACATACACCCATTTACCTTAGAGCACAGTCCAACACCCACCAACGTACTGATCCTCAGTCCTTTTAATAAAGCAGCTTCAACCCTTCTCAGAGTGGCCTTGAGTGGTTGCCTCCATGTGTCTGCAGATGCAAAAAGGAAGGCAGTTCAGGGCCCTAATCAGAGGCTTCCTGTCAGGACAAGGCCCTGGCTTCAGCATTAGCTGCTGCAAGCCTGAAGGGCAGGATGTGAGCCTGTTGTGGGACTGCCCCCTCCAAGGTCTGAGCCTGTTAACTCGGGGGTCAGCTTCCCCTACATCTGCAGTCCCTCTGCCGGAGGCCTGAGCTCTCCATGCCCTGGGCTCTCTTCCGCAGACGGCCTACTCTCAGCGGCCACAGGAGGGCGCTGGAGAACGGACCTGAGCAGAGAGCCAGGAGCTCCACTGCCTGGTCCTCCCAGGCACCACCCCTGCTGGGAGGAAGGCTTGGGAGTCCCCTGAGACAGATCCTCAGTCACTTCTCTCTGCCTGTGTCTCAGGAAGACCAGCTCCTCCTACTGTCTTCTGTGCTAGGGATCACTTTCTTGTTGAGTGGCACCTGAGTTTTGAGAGGGTCTTCTGCTCCTCTTCATCTTGTCCCTTTTCTTTCAAGGTCCCAGAGAGGAAGGCATGCGGTGGGCCCTAGCCCTGCTTCTAGCTTTCTTGTTTTCTGGTGAGTGTGCTGCCTACAGAGAGGCTCATAGGTTCTGTTGTGTTTTGTTTTCTTCTTTTACAAGGGGTGCCATACTAAGGAATGCCTCATTATATTTTGTCGTTTCCCATTGCAGCCGGTCGGAAATCTTCCAACTTGGAAGGGATAACAAAGTCAGTCACCAGGCCAACTGGGTCATCTGCTGAAATAACTTGTGATTTTTCTGGAGACAGTAACTTTTATATCCACTGGTACCTACACCAGGAGGGGAAGGTCCCACAACGTCTTCTGTACTATGACGTCTCCAACTCAAGGGATGTGTTGGAATCAGGACTCAGTCCAGGAAAGTATTATACTCATACACGCACAAGGTGGAGTTGGATATTGATACTGCGAAATCTAATTGAAAATGATTCTGGGGTCTATTACTGTGCCAACTGGGACAGGCACAGTGATTCAGACCTGCTAAACACCATACTGAAAATCTGCCTTGTGGCTGCTTCTGGTACACAAGATAGAGCCGCCCCCTCTCATTTCCTGCCACCAAATTTACTGTATGCTGAACAAGAGAAACACAGCTTAACTCCTGACCTCCCCCTAATATCACATTCCCCTGGCAGCAGCTGCCCCCCGTTCGCCACCCTCCCCCAGAACTTTCCTGAAGACCAAGCTGCCATCTCAGCTAAGCCTCAGCTAAGCAGCCTGGCTGAGAGCAAGGTTCTCTTAGCTCTCCTAGGACATGGGCAAGGCCCACTCAATCTGCTACCTAGGACACACAGGTACACCTAGGGTCCAGCTGTGAAGCAAGATATTTTGGACAGCAAATGGGAAGGGTATTTTTACTGAATCATATATCCAATCATGGTCCAGATATCGCAGCTCAGAGTGGTGCTTTTTCCTTATGTCTGTAACAATACAAGCGATACTAAAATTACCACCAAAATACCTGGCCTAGATATGCAGTTGAACATTCTCTCCCTCTGCCCTCCCTTTTATTCTCTCTTTTTCTTCTTTGCTTGCTTTTTTTTTTTCTCCCTTCCTTCCTCCCTCCCTTGCTCCATCCTTCCATCCCTTCTTCCCTTGTTTCCTTCCATCCATTCTCCTTCTTTTCTTTCCTTCCTTCCTTCTTTACTTTTCTCTCTTTCTTTCCTTTTTCGGGTACATAATCAAAATACTTTTTCCACAAAATCATTTGAAATAATTTTTCTCTATTTGTTCGTGCCAACATTGATACAGCTACTTTAATTGTTCAGTTTTCATTTTTATATTTTGGAAGTTTGTTGTGTTACTTTGTTTTGTTTCGTCTTTGTTTTGTGTATATAAAACATTTACATGGAGCTGAAGTCAAAATTATAAAAGAAGATGGATTTGAAGATTTTAACTTCCATTGTAGATTTCTTGTTCCTCTTTTCTCACTCATCCTATAGGTAACAATATTTTTATCAGTTCACTTGAGCTTTTTCACTCTGTTTTTCATAGCAGAGAATGTATTGCTTCTATTTCAATGCCATATTTATATTTTCATTCTGATATTCCGTTTTTGTACATTGTAATCAATCTTTTATTTTCCTGTGTCTGGATTGTGTGTCTGTCTTCTAAAGGTGCATATACTTCATAAGTATGCATAAAGAAATCCATATTATGTATTTGAATATTTTTATGCATTATTTAATGATGGCATCATTGTTCTGTCAGGAATTTTTATACAATAATTGCTGTATTAGTAATAATAATCCTGACCAGGCCTGGTGGCTTGTGCCTGTAATCCCAGCATTTGAGTATTCCAGTCAACAGGAACACTTAGGTCAGGAGACTGTGACCAGCTTAGCCAACATGGTGAAACCTTGTCTCTACTAAAAGTACAAAAAATTAGCTGGCTGTAGTGGTGCACACATGTAATGCCAGCTACTTTGGATGCTGAGGCGGGAGAATCTCTTGAGCCTGGAAGGTGGAGTTTTCAGTTAGCTAAGATCACACTACTGCTCTCCAGTTTGGGGAACAGAGAGAGACTCTGTCTCAAAAAAACTAATAATAATAATATGATGGTAAATATGGGTACTGACATTCTGGTAGCTAATTTACTAAGCACATTACATGCATATTTTATTTAATCTATACAGAAACTTTATTAAGGATTTAAAGTACCATTGAATGTAACATAAGAAATTGGGGGTTTAATTAACATTCCCTAAATCATGTACTTTAATTTGATAATGATTGCATTCCAAGCTCTGTGGTTCCAAAAATGAGATTTGTTAATTTGGTTTGCATTCCCCCATCTTTAAGAGTACTAGCATTGTTTTACAACTTTATAGGTCGTTTATACTTCTTCTTTTGAGAATCGCCTTGTCATACTCTTTGCCTGTTCTTCTTTTGGATGATTAATTTTTTCTTATTGGTCGTAAGAATTAATATACACCATTTTAGAGATACTGACCCTTTATCAAATGTGTTGAAGATATTTCTTCTCATTTGTTATTATTTACATTTGGCAACTTTTGGTGAACTGAACTTTGATAAAAACACAATAAAATCTATCAATTTTTCTAGGGTGTCTAGTTTGATGTTAGTCTTAGAGAGGCCAATCTTACCTAGAATTTGTATGCAATTCATCATCGTTTAAGTCTAATGATTTTCTTTGTATTACTACTAAATCACTATTTGTAACTGGTAAGGTAGAAATGCAACAATATTTGTTTACATATGGTAAGCCAATACCCAAAAGAGAACTTATTAAATAATTGACTATTTCCTTGTGGATATTAACATATAACTTTATCACATGAGAAAATATTACATACATGTGGTTCTCTTTCTGGATTTTCTGCTGTGTTCCATGAATCTTGTCATTCTAGTGCCAGTATTGCCCTATCTTCAGCACAGTAGCTTTATAGCTCTTTTCACATTCTGATGAAGTTTCTCTCATTATTTTTTTGTTTTAAGAATTTTCTGTGCATTCTAGTGTGATCTCAATCCTCTCCCTTCCCATTTTTAGACTGTGATACTTCTGTCCAGAAAGACTTTTTCATGCTCCAAGGCAGGCAAACTCCCCGGCTTCACAAGGAGCCCTACTGGGTGCTGATTTCGTTGGGCACCAGATATCGGGGAAATCAGCCCCCAATATTTCAATGTAGGTTATTTTCTGTTTTCCCTAAGTGTCAGCCAGTCTGAGAAATAAAGAGAAAAAGTACAAAGAGAGAAATTCTACAGCTGGGCCACCGGGAGTGACATCACATATCGGCAGGTTCCATGATGCCCACCTGAGCCGCAAAGCCAGCAAATTTTTATTAGGGATTTCGAAAGGGGAGGGGTGTATGAATAGGGAGTAAGTCACAAAGATCACACGTTTCAAAGGGCAATAAAAGATCACAAGGGCAGAAGGGCAGAGCAAGATCACAAGGCCAGGGCAAAATTAGAATTACTGATGAGTTTCCATGTCCCACTGGGTACATACTGTCTTGATACTATCTTGATACTATCTTCCTTACCAGGAAACAGGATTCGAGAGCAGAAAACTGGTCTGACTAGAATTCACCAGGCTGGAATTTCCCCAACCTAGTAAGCCTGAGGGCACTACAGGAGACAGGGCGTATTTCATCCCTTATCTTCAACCACATAAGACAGACACTCCTAGAACGGTTGTCAATAGGCCTGCCCCTGGGAATACGTTCCTTCCCCAGGGTTATTCCTTGCTGGGAAAAGAATTCAGCGATATTTCTCCTATTTGCTTTCTGCAAGAAGAAAAATATGACTCTGTTCTGCCTGACACTACAGTCAGTCAGACCTTATGGTTATATCCCTTGTTCCCTGAAAATTGCTGTTATCCTGTAAGAACAGGGTGCCTAGATTTGATATTGTTCAAACACACATGTTTTACAAACAATTTGTACAGATAATGCAATCATCACAGGGTCCTGAGGTAACATACATCCTCAACTTATGAAGATGATGGGATTAAGAGATTAAAGTATAGACAGGCATAGGAAATTATAAGAGTATTGATTGGGGAAGTGATAAATCTCCATGAAATCTTCACAATTTGTGTTCAAAGACTGCAGTAAAGACAGGCGTAAGAAATTATAAAAGTATTAATTTGGGGAACTGATAAATGTCCATGAAATCTTCACAATTTATGTTCTTCTGCTGCAGCTTCAGCTGGTCCCTCCATTCGGGGTCCCTGACTTCCCGCAACAAACCCTGAGAACTCAGCTTTCAGAGCTGCTCCTATGGCAGCTTCATGTCCTGCACGTGTGGTCCAGAGGCAGAGGGAGACCAACCAGAGCCCCCTCCCTTTCTCATTCACAGCTGTGATGACAGCAGAAACTGAACTCTCTGAGCTGGGCCAACACCACAACTGAGAGGGACATTGTTCTACATCTCATTATGCATATTTTAAATGTGTGTCTCTATATACTTCTTAGAGAGGAGGTGAAAATCTGTGTATGCCCTAGTGAATTTTCACAATTATATTACTGTACTTGTTTTGTCCCCTATATTTCCATCTGTGAATCCAGGTGCACTGCAGATCTCAGTTCACTTTCTGAGGGTAGGGCTGCCAAACAAAATAGACAATACCCAGGGAATTTGGAAGTTCAGGAAAATAACAAGTTTTTGGTTTATGTATGTTCCAAATATTGCATAACATGGCACCCTGAACTACTTAAACAACAACAACAACAACAACAACAGCAACTCATACACCTACTTCAATGAACAAAAATCCTCTAATAAAGAGATCACACCCACAGGATCACAGACACCCCTTCCCCACCTCCACCCCCCGACACACCCATTTACCTTATAGGAGAGTCCAAACCCACCAACATACATGATCCTCAGTCCTTTTAATAAAGCAGGTTCAACCCTTCTCAGAGTGGCCTTGGGTGGTTGCCTCCAAGTGCCATGCAGAGGCAAAAAGGAAGGCAGTTCAGGGCCCTCATCAGAGGCTTCCTGGCAGGACAAGGTCCTGGCATCAGCATTTGCTGCTGCAACTCTGAAGTGCAGGGTGCGAACCTACTGTGGGACTGCCCCCTCCGAGGGCTGAGCCGGCTGACTCCAGGGTCAACTTCCTGGACATTTGCAGTCCCTCTGCTGCAGGCTTGAGTTCTCCATGCCCCTGGCTGTCTTCTGCAGACGGCCTGCTCTCAGCTGCCACAGAGGGCGCTGGAGAACGGGCCTGAGCAGAGAAGCAGGAGCTCCTCTGCAGGTCCTCCCAGGCACCACCCCTCTGAGAGGAAGGTTTGGGAGTCCCCTAAGGTAGATCCTCAGTCACTTCTCTCTGCCTGTGACTCAAGAAGACCAGCTCCCCCCACTGCCGTCTGTGCCAGAGATCACTTCCTTGATGAGTAGAACCTGAGTTTTGAGAGGGTCTTCTGCTCCTCTTCATCTGGTCCCTTTCCTTCCACAACCCCAGAGAGGAAGGCATGCAGTGGACCCTAGCCGTGCTTCTAGCTTTCCTGTCTCCTGGTAAGTGTGCTGCCTACAGAGAGGCTCACAGGTTTTGTTTTGTTTTGGTTTGGTTTGGTTTTTTTCTTCTTTTGCAAAGGATGCCCTACTAAGAAATGCCTCATTATATTCTGCCAGTCACATATCTACTAACTTGGAAGCAAGAAGAAAGTCAGGCACCAGGGGGTCAGGGTCATCTGTTGTTATCACCTGTGATCTTCCTGTAGAAAATACCTTCTACATCCACTGGTACCAACACCAGGAGGAGAAGGCCCCATCTTCTGTGCTATGACCCATTCACTCTAGGGATGTGTTGGAATCAGGAGTCAGTCTAGGAAAGCATGATAATTATGGAAGTACAAGGATAAGTCAGAAATTTATACCTCTGAAACTAAATGAAAGTGACTCTGGGGTCTATTACGGTGCCAACTGGGACAGCCACAGTGATTCATACCTGCTGAATACCACACTGAAAATCTGCCTTGCGGCTGCTTCTGGTACACAAGGTAGAAATGACCCATCTCATTTCTTGCCACCAAATTTACTGTATTGTGTACAAAGAGAAATACAGCTTAACTCCTGATCTCCCCACTAATATCACACTCCCCTGGCAGCTGCACCCTGTTCTCCTCCCTCCCCCAGGACTTTGCTGAAGACCAAGCTGCCATCTCCAGGCCTCAGCCAAGCATCCTGGCTGAGAGCAAGGTTCTCTCAGCTCTCCTAGGACATGGGGGAGGCCTGCTCATTCTGCTTCCTAGGACAGACAGGTACACCTAGGGTCCAGTTGTGAAGTGAGATACTTTGGACAGCAAACAGAAAGGGTATTTATACTGAATCATATATCCAGAGATCACAGCCGAGAGTGTTGCTTATTCCTTATGCATATAACAATATAAGCAATACTGTAATTACCACTAAAACACTAGGCCTAGATATGCAGTTGAACATTCTCTCCCTCTAACTTCCTTTTATTTTTCCTCTCTCTACTTTCCTGGTTACTTGCTGTTTTTCTACACGTCCCTTTTTCTGCCTTCCTCTCCCTCCCTCCCTAGTTCCCTTCCTAGCTTGCTTGCCTGCCTGCCTTCCTCCCTTCCTTCCTTCCTTCCTTCCTTCCTTCCTTCCTTCCTTCCTTCCTTCCTTCTCTTCCTCCCTCCCTTCCTTCCTTCCTTTTTTCCTTTCTTCCTTTTCTCTCTCTTTCTTTTTTGGGCACACAATCAGAATACAGAATAATTCTCTATATGTTCATGCCAACTTTGATATAGCTAGTTTATTCGTTCAGTTTTCATTTTTATATTTTGGAAATCTGTTGTATTATTTTGATTTGTGTATGTAAAACCTTTACAGGGAACTGAAGTCAAAATTACAAAGCAAGATCAATTTCAAGATTTTAGCTTCTATTCTAGAATTCTCTTTTCTGTATCTCACCCTGTGGGTAATAATATCTTTATTAGTTCAGTTGAACTTTTTCACTTTTTCTCATTTATTCAGAAGTCTATCGCTATTACAGAAATTCATCTTTTGCTTGTCATATGTGCAGTATGCATTGTTTCTATTTGAATGGCATATTTATGTTTTTGTTCTGATATTCTGCTTTTATACATCTCAATCAATCTTTCAGTTTCTGATGTCTGCATTTTGTGTCTTACTTGGAAGGGTGAACGTAATTCAGAAGTATGCATAAAGAAATCTGTATCATTTCATTAATGTTTTATTCATTTATTACTTGATATTGATATGATCTATCTGGAATTTTTATACAACGATTACTATAGTAATAATAATATTGATGATAAATATGGGTACTGACTTTCTGGTAGTTACTGTACTAAGCACATTACATGTATATTTTATTTAATCTTCACAGAAACCTTATTGACGGGTTTAAGTACCATTGAATACAGCAGATGAGAAATTGAGGGGTTACCTAACATTCCCTAAGTCATATACTTTAATTTGATAGTGATTTCAATCCAAGCTCTGGGGTTCAGAAAATGAGATTTGTTCATCCAATTTGACTTGTCTTATCTTTATGAATACTAGCATTATTTTACAACTTTATAGGCCGTTTATACTTCTTCTTTTGTGAATTGCCTTTTCATACTCTTTGCCTATTCTTCTGTTGGGGTATTAATTTTTTCTTATTTGTTTGTAAGAATTAATATACACCATTTTCAAGATATTGATCCTTTATCAAATGTGTTGAAAATATTTCTCGTCGTTTGCTTTCATTTATTTTCAGCACCTTTTGGTGAACTGAACTTTCTATATTACTTTTAATAAAATCTATCAACTTTTCTAGGGTCTGTATTATGATGTCAGGCTCAGAGAGACCAATGTCACCTACAATTAGTGTGCAATTCATCATCGTTTAAGTCTGATTTCCTGTTTTCAGTTTTATTACAAGTAAAGCTCTAACTTTTTAAGTTAGCAACCCAAGAATATTTGTTTCCATATGGTAAGTCAATTCCCAAAGAAGAACATAGCAAATAATCAAGTATTTCCTTGTGGATATTAACATACAACTTTAGGACATGATAAAATATTACATACATGTGATTCTCTTTCTGGACTTTCCACTGTGTTCCATGAATCTTTTCAGTTTAGTGCCAGTATTGTCCTCTCTTCAGCACTGTAGTTTTATAGTTCATTTTATATTCCAGTGGAGATTGTTTCTCTCATTACTTTTTTGTTTTAAGGATTTTCTGTGCATTCTAATGTGATGGCAGTTCTCTCCCTTCTCATTTTTAAACCATGAGAGTTCTATCCCAGGCAGGATTTTCCTGGCTCCAAGGCAGGTGAGCTTCCCTCCTTCACAAGGACCCCGATGACTCAGCTTTCAGAGCTACTCCCGTGGCAGCCTCAAGTCCTGTACATGCGGTCGAGAGGCAGAGTGAGACCAACCAGAGTCCTCTGCCTTTCTCATTCCCAGCTGTGATGTCAGCAGAAACTGAACTCTCTGAGCTGGGCCAAAACAACAACCAAAAGGGACATTGTTCTACATTTTATGAATATCTTAAACATGTGTCTAAATATTTTTTTTTTTACAGAAGAGGTGAAAATCTGTGTATGCACTACTGAATTTTCACAATTATTTTACTATACTTGTTTTATCACCTATATCTCCATCTATGAATGCAGGTGCACTGCAGACATCGGTCAGCTTTCTGAGGGTACGGTTGCTAGGTAAAATATGCAATACTCAGGAAATTTGGAAGTTCAGTTCAATAACAAGTTTTTAGCTTAAGTATGTACCAAATATTGCATGACATGGCACCCTGTATTACTTTAAAAAAAGAAACAACTCACACTTCTACTTGAATGAATGGAAATCCTCTAATAAAGAGATCACACACACGGGCACACATTCCCAACACACACACACACATACACACACACACACAAACTCATACAGGATCACACATACACCTGTCCCACCCCCACACATCCGTTTACCTTAGAGAAGAGTCCAAGACCCACCAACATGCCTGACCCTCAGTCCTGTTAATAAAGCAGGTTCAGACCTTCTCAGAGTGCCCCTCAGTGTTGCCTCCAGTGTCCTTGCAGACGTGAAAAGGATGGTGGTTTAGGGCCCTAATCAGAAGCTTCCCCGCAGAATGAGGGCCGGGCAGTGGACTTACCTGCTGTAACTCTGAAGTGCTGGGTGTAAGCCTGCTGTGAGACTGCCCGCTTCAAGGCCTGAGACTGTTACCTCCAGGTAGGTTGCCCATATATGCACTCCCTCTGGCGCAGGCTGAGCCTCTCCACGCCCCGGCTTCTCCTGCAGAGGGCCTGTCTCTCAGCTGCACAAGAGGGCGCAGGAGAAGGACCTGAGCAGAAGCCAGAGCTCCCTGCGGGGTCTCCCAGGCACCACCCTGCTGGGAGGAAGGCTTGAGGTGTCCCCTTAGACAGATCCTCAGGCAACTCTCTCTGCCTGTGTCTCAGGAAAGACAGTCCTCCTACTGTCCTTCTGGCTAGGGATCACTTCCTTGTGAGTGGACCTGAGTTTCCAGAGGATCTTCTGCTCCTCTTCATCTGATCCCTTTCCTTCCAAGGCCCAAGAGAGGAAGGCATTGTGGTGGGGCCCCAGGTCCTGCTTCTAGCTTCTCCTGGTCTCCTGGTGAGTGTGCTGCTATAGACGAGTTTTGTTTTGTTTTTTCTTTTGCAAGGGTGCCATACTAAGGGAATGACTCATTATATTTTGTGTTGGTTCCCCTTGCAGCAGTCAGAATCTTTCCCAATGGAAGGGGAACGAGAGTCCAGTCACCAGGGCCAACTGGGTCATCTGCTGAAATCACCTGTGATCTTCCCTGAAGTCAGTAGCTTCTACATCACTGGTACCTGACCACCAGGAGGGGAAAGGGCCCCCACAGCGTCTTCTGTACTATGACTCCTCCAACTCCAGGGTTGTGTTGGAATCAGGAATCAGTTCAGGAAAGTATGATAGTTATGGAAGCACAAGGAGGAGGAACTTGAGATTGAGACTGCGAAATCTAATTGAAAATGATTCTGGGGTCTATTACTGTGCCAACTGGGACAGGCACAGTGATTCAGACCTGCTGAACACCACACTGAAAATCTGCCGTGTGGCTGCTTCTAGTACACAAGACAGAACCACCCCCTCTCATTTCCTGCCACCCAATTTACTGTATGCTGAACAAGAGAAACACAGCTTAACTCCTGATCTCCCCTACAGGATTACACTCCCCTGGCAGCAGCTGCCCCCTGTTCCCCACCCTCCCCCAGGACTTCCCTGAAGACCAAGCTGCCATCTCAGCTAAGCCTCAGCGAGGCAGCCTGGCTGAGAGCAAGGTTCTTTAGTTCTCCTAGGACGTGGGGGAGGCCCACTCACTCTGCTGCCTAGGACAGACAGGTACACCTAGGGTCCAGCTGTGAAGCAAGATATTTTGGACAGCAAATGGGAAGGGTATTTATACTGAATCGTGTATCCCATGATCCAGAGATCACAGCCGAGAGTGGTGCTTATTCCTTATGTCTATAACAATATAAGCAATGCCATAATTACGACTAAAACACCAGGCCTAGATATACAGTTGAACATTCTCTCTCTCTGCCTTCCCTTTTATTCTCTCTCTCTTCTTTCTTACTTCTTTGGTTGCTTTTATTATTTTTCTCACTCTCCCTTCCTCCTTCCATCCCTCCATCCCTCCCTCCCTCCCTCATTCCTTCCTTCCCTCCCTTCCTCCCTTTTTCCTTCCATCCATTCTCCTTCCTTTTTTTCCTTCCTTTCTTCTTTGCTTTTATCTCTTTCTTTCCTTTTTGGGTACATAATCAAACTACTTTTTCCACAAAATCATTTGAAATAATTTTTCTCTATTTGTTCGTGCCAACATTGATACAGCTACTTTAATTGTTCAGTTTTCATTTTTATACTATTCTCTGGACACACTTGCTCCCCATTACTCCCTTCGCTTCTCGTTTCATCTTGTCCTTCTGTACTATCTAAACACCATTTTACAATGGAGCTGAAGTCAAAATTATAGCAACAATGACATTTGAACGACTTTTACACTCTCCATTGTCAGATTCTCCGTTCTCTTTTCTCCCCTCACCTACCTACCGGCTAACCAACCATCTTTCTACTCAGCCTCTCACTTTGCACGCCTTCTCACTCTGTTTTCTCCACCCCTCAAGCGGCAGCTATCCGCTCAACACTCCCTTCCTACTCCCTCACACCTGCCACTACTTTACCCTCGCCTTCTTCCCGCTCCTCTCGACACTCCCAATTTGGAGTTTTCCCTACTACATTTTAATCAAATCTTCTTATTCTTCCGCCCCCGACTCTTGGATTTTGTGTCTCGACTTCCCTAAAAGGGTTGCACATACCTCATTAACTTCGCATAAAGAACTCTATATCCATCCCCCGTATTTGAATGTTTTTACTGCACTTGAATTATCTTAATGATCGGCATCATTGACAATCTTATCAGGAATTTTCTAATCACCAATAATTCCTGTCGTTAGCTAATAATATATACTGGCCAGGCCCTGTGCCGCTCCCTCACACCCACCGCATGTTGGTAG